TTCACTGGCGAACCGCTCCCACCGATCGATTAGCCGATCTATCCTTCCTAACAATCGTGTGCGCACGCGTGTAGACGGCCAGCTGATGACCGACACCAAGTATTGTCTCAATGCTGGACCCGGAAGTTACAGCGACCCTCATAATATGCACATGACCAGAAAAGATAACCAGCATTCTATGCATGGTAAGACACGACGTATGCTCTTCAGAGCTGGGAACAAGCTGTTCAAACTACATTAAATCGTTCTATACTAAATGCATAGGAAAGTTCGTCCAAGAAGTGAGGCAGCTAAGCAAAGTAGCCAATGCATTTCGGTTTTGTCCAATATGCCCAGTCATTCCCGTAGTCAATTGTTTATGTGTGCTCATGAAGAAGTTCTATAGGTTGACTTAGGTGATCGCGCTTTTGGTGAATACTAAGATCGCACCCTCGGAGGTGAATATGGCCACACTTGTACCTCCAACAACTGACTCAAGCTCTGCTTCTAGATCGAAAAAGAGAGTCAGACGTCGCAACCATACTGCGACATTTGCGTCTACAAAGCCTCTGACTCACGTCTCTTCCATGAGAGGACAAGCGTCAACCGTGACTGTCTCCAACCTTTTAAGCAATGTAGCACACCTTTAGTGGGTGGCGATGATTGCAGCTCCGAGCGAGCGTGCTTTCACCATGGAGGAAAGCCGGACATCGTACGCATTACTTGCCTCCTTGCAAACGTTGGATAGAACACCCCCTGACGCTGACATTAGCATCGAGCAACGTTAGAGTGACACAGCTTCCGCGGCCCCCCAAACAGTTAAAAATGGTATCAATTAATACCCTTAAAATTACACCCATTAAGGAAAACCCTGGAGCTTCAATTGTCATGTGCACAAATGTTTTAGCATCATAGTCTAATTCCACAAAGGGGAAGTTGATGGACGACCGTAGCAGGTGGAAGTTCACTTATGGTGCGATTAGCATTTCGGTTGAGTCCAAGACACAGAGACGAGTCCCAGGCCACCCAAATTCAGTGCATTCCGGTGAACCTCAATTCTCCGGGTGACGCAGTTCCACTGACGACACAGCGACCGTTCTACTGTCGTCGATTCGGTTCCGTGACTAAGCACTTGAAGTGCGCATACTTCCGGACATGCCTTGGAACGAACGTCGTAAAAAGAATAGCAGTCGTGAGGATGTTCGCAAATTCGATGATAAACGGACGATTGATGTTTACCGAGTTACTGAGTTGCAAGCATTTCTATCTAAGGAATCGGAAGCACACGACTTGGAGCAACAAGGCTAGGTCAGTCAGGGACTCTCATTCGATAATATTATTGCTAAACAGTTGACAAGACTTCCACTATCACCCAGGCTGATAAAGGTGATGCATCAGAATGTGCCAATGGCACCGCTTGTATTATGAAATCGGTCTAGCTTCCGCACGAGGCTGCTTACCTAAATTTGGCTAAATACAGCGGGTACACGGTCGTGCATGGCTGATGACTCAATGGGGACGGCCCAGTTGGTGAATCTTCCCCTCATAGAGCTCTGTGAAAGGACTGATCCAATGACAAACTCAGCATTCGACGGAATACGACTAAGCACGCTAGATCATCAGGACCCGGACAGCTGCCATCAGTCATATAGCCCAAGCGAAATTCAAAGACCAACGACTCCAACAACGGCTAACGTCTGACTCCTTACCGGCCTGAAAAACATGTTCTTAGTTCATCATCCGCTAGCTGATTTTTGGTTACCAAGAAACGCGCTTGATTGTGTTCTAAAGCTCAAGGTCTTGTTAGTATGTTGGTCGAACTCCGTCATCGTCAAACTTCAGTACCTTGAGGTATCATATTGATCAACGAAAAGTGGTTGAACTGGGAGATTACCGACGTTGGGATCGCTCTTCCACGTATGTCATTTCTCTGGAACGACAGAACGGCTAGGGGAGGGGAGTGATCATTTATCGTGAAACAAACATTCACTGTGAACTCGTAGAAGAGCCTAAAACGAGCACCACTTATCCCCTTTGGTGCACACGGTAGTTGAAGGATGACAGCAATGTCTTATATCTGTAGTTTCCAGATCGCACAAATCAACTCCTGAAAATGATCAGGGAAAGCATCACCTTCTCCTATTGTGTTAAACCAGAAATACAGTCATTTTCCGATTCAAGGAGATTTCGACATCAGTAATCTGGAAACGTTATCAGCCGATAATGAACAGTTCAAACTTCATCCGCAAGAGATATCCTCTACTACACCGTTATAGAATTAAGTCAACGTTTCCGCCAATTCTAACAGTACGTAAGCCACCCATATTGGACCTAGTGCTCCCCAGTGAGGGGCTCATGGTTTATGGGCTAAATATGTGCAGTCCATTGGGTCGAAGTGATCAAATTACTCCACTGTTCTATTGTACTTGCTACGCCGAATCCTAATGTCACGTATTGCGACGTATTGTCTGCAAGTAGTGACTGCACCCCAGAGACGTTACTCGTTGTAAAACTACCAGGGCCAAAAGCTTTTCTTCGTCTTCGCAGAACACAATCCTTTTTGAGAAATCACACACGAAAATATATGGCATTGAGGGGTCGCACATGACGCGATTCTAAAATATTTCCAGCTCAGAACATTACGCAGTGTACTCAGCTCAACCGAACTGCTGTGTACAGTTGTTTGGCGATGACAAGCTGATACACCAACAGGAGTTGGCAAAACGATTCATCCGTAACAAGCTTATTTACAAACATTTGAATACACATCGCGAGGTGCAGCATGGAATTCTATTATTCACTACGGTTGACTGGTATACACATATAGCGAGAGAGACGGATAACGCCTTATACGTCCAATACTCACCCACCTTCCAGGAACTACAAGGTCCGAACGCTATTTCTGCGTCTATCACTCCACTATGGAGTTTAAGCAGCATTACATTCACTGCAGAAACGGTACTGAAAAAGCTGCTATTCTTGCGTGCACATAGCTCTCCTGGAGCGGATAATATCCACCCGAAAGTACGGCAGGTAGCAGCCAAGCAACTAGCCAAATCACTTGTCATGTTCGTTCAGCGCTGTCTAGACAAGAACATGGTTTCGTCAACATAGAAACAGAGTCTCATCCCTCCTATTCACAACGGAGGAAGTCGGTCTGAGCGTGTCAATTAGCACCCGGTAGCGTTTCTCCCTATGATCGCTAAGGTCGTGGAAACCATCATCGCAAACAGACTGAAGGGCTGCCTGGAAAGCTACATCATCATTGCGCCGGAGTAGTAGGAGTTTCGTAAACATCGATCCTGACCACAAACCTGGAGGTAGCATGCTATAACTAGACCAAAGCAGTTGACGAGGGGACAGGGACCGATATTATCTACTTGAACGTTTCAAAAGCGTTTAACGGTATGCTGCTTCACAAGCTTTAGAAATATGGTATCGGCGATCCAGTTTGATGGTGGATCGGTAAGTTGCCTCATGAACCGCAATTAGAGATTAGAGTCAGGACCTCTCTGCCCGACCCAATCCGAGTGGAGTGCGACGTACCGCAGTGTTCGACATTTGATCCTCGACTGTCCTTAGTCTTTATTAACCATCTACCAAGAATTGACAACTCAAAATTTTTGCTCTTCGTGGAAGACTTTAATATTTAGCGGGCAGGCAAGCGATTGGAAAACTATAAAATTCTCCAGTGCAACCTGGATGATGCCTGTAATTCGTCGGTAAAAAACGCGAGGCCAACCAATGTGGACCAGTGGCACGTTGTCCACATCCGCCATTGACATACTTAAGCTACTGGCTTGGAGTGCACGATCCGAGGATCACTACTAAGGGACGTGACCCCGTTGTGCTGACGCAGGACGACCTCGGTTGTTTCAGACACTCCGAGTGCGCTTCAAGAAATGGTAATCGAGGTTGGTGGATCTCCGGAGTTCGGACTCATCCATTTCCTCTCTGATGATCAATGCGTACATCGTGACCACTTCGGATCCGCTATCCAGGTGTGGCTTCCTTTGATAAAGCTTGATGGCACAACATTCGAGACCCCGCAACGTCCAGCGACGAAAAATATCATGGGTTTGCGCAACCTTCCGTATCAGAAAAGAATGAAGATACCCCGTGTTTAGTGCACGCTACGGGCGACTACGTGGAGAACACATGTTACTACACTGAGCGATCCCAGTCACATATGCCGCTACCTTTTGAAAATAAGTGCGGTCACCAACCGCAGTGGCAATGGCTAGAAACTGGGTCATAATACAGTCGCCCGAATTGTCGAGGGACTTATTTTTTCCAGATATACCAACCCTGGAAAGCTCTTTCAGGCTGGGCTGTCTGTGCCTCAACTTTAGTTTTTAAAAGAGGATTGAATATCGCAAAGCGCCCCTTACACTTTGTTACATGAACGAATATACTAGATGTATTCAGGCCAACTAGCTACCTGGGAATTATAACCTACATGAGGCACGTAAATCTATGCAAAGGGGAGAGCACTTCTATTGTTATTTGCTATTAGCATTAACCATAACCACTTATTAATCCGTTTGGTATGGTACTATCTCATTCCTACAACCTTCCCACTACACGCCATTACACTATCGCTTCCCCGCTAGGCTTTTCTTTTGGTTCACTAATTTAATATTTAAATTTAACTTTAACAGCCTATGATATTTTACCCGTCATAACCCATTGTTCCATTGTCCGGACTCTAAGAGTCCAAATTTGAAGGGAATCGGCCATAAAGTGCAGCGTCGTGAGGGCGCAACACCGAAAACTCTCCATTATCCGAGCTGTTCACCTCTTGTGCATCAGATGACGAGATAAGCGGTTGGCATTTCGCTGTTTCAGTAAATCGTGAGCTCCTGTACCTATCGGCAACTTCAACATTGACGACAAGGCTCAGATATAAGGAAGCTGTTTGGAATGGATGCAATTACTGCCTTCCTTCAGAGCAAACTGAACGCTGAATGTATATTGAACTTAGTCCAAAAAATAAACATCACCAATGAAAATATTCCCACCTCAAGATCACGTTCGGATGGCAGGCTTCTCTCTGCACTTCGCTCAGCTTCCAATGCTTTCATTTCGGCTATCTGCTTCTCTGGAGACATCGGTCTACTTGGACCTCTGGAAAAAATGCATAAAATACAATGCCGAAGCATTTCACTGCTCAGATAACAATTGAACTGTAAGTAGAATATGCTGGTATAATGAACAATTTACTATGCTCTGTAGATCGTGTGATGGAGCGCTGTTCAGCTTGCTTGAACGCGACTGAGTCCATCCATATTTGCCGACCAGAGGAGTAGCTTGCTCTTATCACAGCTGTTACACAGAAGAGGTTACGTTACCTTTTACGTCAATATAAATAGATATCTGTGGTGATAAGAGTTGAGAAAACAATTACACTGCAATGATTGTTACCAAATATCACCAAGTTTGGTCGATCACACCGATTGGTTCACGGGCACAGCACTCTTGTCCCGCCAGTCAGTTATGGCTGGGGAGAAGATGCATTGCACTAGACTCGCATGCTATGGTTGGCGGCATCCGGTTTCGGATTTGCCTGTCACTGTGGCAAGCCACAGGACGCCTGCGCCTACAGAGGGACCATGGATGGCTTGCGCTGCACCACCCACAGCTCCAACCACATACCCCATATCCAGTGTAAACCCGAAGGAATAAGACCGGGAGGCATGCGGATGCGAACCACGTTTCATCAACGGAGCCGGCCCACACTCCTTCACAGGCAAACACAAGCACACTGTATTTGGGAATCAAGCGCACACAAGGCGGTGGCTGGACCGTAGTCCGCTCCACACTGACTGCATGGAACCACTCTTCGAGCCTAACACGGCCACAAGGACCGTGCACCCTGTCCCCTCCAGCAACGACCAACTGTCTCCTGGAGCCAGTATGGACGAGGTAGTGGGTAATAGACAGGTAGGCACCTTGTCAACATACACATCAAGCGCAGCCACACCGGGGATATCAAACAACAGCCAAACACTTGAGAGAGAGAGAGAAAGAAAAAGAGAAAAACTCGTTTAATGCATAAGGAAACGGTGATATAAACCTTAAGTAAATAGCATATGTAATAAGTTGTTTACAAACAGATAATAGCTGAGTGCACGAGGTCAGAAAGTATATTTCACGGAATGCCACGAACACAAAAATGTTATGGAAATCAAATACAATTGGCTGAAGCGATGTGTGCAAGTTAATGGAATAGAGTACAGGGAGATATTTATATGAGAAAGAAAAGCATTAAGGTAAAAACTGTAAACCCACCACCTGAAATAAAGAGACTTAGCATGCAAGCACGCGGTTAGTAAATCGAATTCAGCGTGCCTACAAACGCTGCGCCGTCTCGTCGTAATTCTCTGCAGGACCCGTCGTCGCTTCTGTAGTGGCCCCAAATGGCACAGCTCATGGCCCACTAGACATTTGTATGAGAAAGAAAGGCATTAGGAGAGAACCGAAAACCCACCACCTGAAATAAAGAGACTTAGCATGCAAGCATGCGGTTAGTAAATCGAATTCAGCGTGCCTACAAACGCTGCGCCGGTGCTGCCTACGTTCACTGCGGGACCCGTCGGCGCTTCGGCAGTGGTCCCGAGTGACCTCTCTCATGGCTCACTAGGCCTGCCTGACTAAGGCACTCGCGACCGCATGTTCTACAGCACAATGCGCTCGATGTCGATGGAGTACAATTCATCGGTGCTTGCCGCTTCCGCAACTGCCGCTTCTTCTCTGCATGCATGAGGGATTTCTCCCGCACTTCAGCAACTGCCTTCGTGATTAGATCGCGCCATGCACGCCGATCAACCGCCTTCGATTCCCATGATCTGCAATCAAGATTAGAACGTGTGAGGCTCACTTTAATCATGTCCTGGTAACGTAACTTTGGTTTCCCCACGTGCCGCTTCCCAATACTCAGCTGACCGTATAAAAGTTGTTTCGGTATCCGCGTCGAATCCATACGGCTCACATGACCGAGCCATCTCAGGTGTCACAATAAAAGTATGCAGTCCACTGCATACATCCCACTTCGGCGCAACACTTCCGTGTCTGCAACTCTGGCGCCCCAGTTGATCCGCAAAATTCGTCGCAGACACTGCTGATGGAACCGCTCGAGATATCGCACATCCCGCCGGTACATCGTCCACGTTTCACTGCCGTATAGAAGAACGGACAGTACCATGGATTTGTACACCATCAGCTTCGTGCCAACGGTAAGCTGATGGTTGTTCCACACTCGGTACTCAAGCTTCCCGAATGCCGCTGCCGCCTTCGACACGCGATTACGCAACTCAACGTGTAGCTGCTGATCAGTCGACATCACACTCCCAAGGTAGCAGAAGCGGGAGGTGGTTTCCAATACTTCAGCACCAATGCTGATTTGTGGCAATATTGAAGATTGCACCTCCGGTGAAGGCTGAAAGAGACAGACAGTTTTGCTTGTGTTGATGGTGAGCCCGAATTTGGCCGCTGTCGAAGCCAGAGCACTAGTCATGTGCTGCAACTCATCCGCGCTGTGTGAAAACAACGCACAGTCGTCAGCAAACAGCAACATACGGATAGTTGTCTCACAGACTAGAGTTCTCGAACCGAAACGACGGATGTTCATCAACCCACCATCAATACGGTGCTCCACACGAACACCGTAAGCACAAGCCGCATCAAAAGCACAAGACAACATTGCATGAAGATAGATATTAAACAGGGCAGGAGCTAACACACAGCCTTGCTTCACACCAGAGACAACTGTAAAGTCATCAGAGGTCTCTCCACTCAGCTGCACCCTCGCTCGCATACCACTGTGCAGACATTCAATTAAACTTACAAACTTACGCGGGCAACCAAACTTACCCAACACCAGCCACAGTGCCTCGCGGTTCACCGTATCAAATGCTTTGGTGAAATCAACAAAAAGCGAGTACAATGGCTGGTGTCGTTCTCTGCATTTCTCTTGCAACTGACGAGCCGCAAACACCATATCTATAGTGCTGCGACCCGAACGGAATCCACATTGCTCTTCCGCCACCTTTGGTTCCACAATCTGACTCACGAGGCGATTGAGCAGGATTCGGGCAATCGCCTTGCCCACACAACTCAGCAAGTTGATGCCACGATAATTCGTGCAACATTGCTTGCTACCTTTGCCCTTGTACAGTGGTAGCACAAGGGCATCCTTCAGCTCAGCAGGCACCTCCTCCTCAATCCACACGCGTTGCACCAAGTGGTGCAGTGCAGTCAACAACGCGGGTCCACCGTGTTTCAATACTTCAGGTGGGATCCCGTCACCTCCGGCACATTTGCGGTTTCGCAGCTGAGCAAGTGCTCTCTGCGTCTCATCCAGTCTCGGCGTATCCGCCAGATCCGCCTTCACATCGTGCTGCTTCAGGCCATTCAATGTAGGCCAGTCGATCTCTGAACGGTTGTTCAAGAGACAGTCAAAGTGTTTCCGCCAGACCTGCATTATGTCTGCAGTCTGTGTGCAGGTAGCGCCTGAACTACCATCGATCAGTGTCCTCAGCGGCTCCAATCCGTCCATACACCGCCTTCAAGGAGTCAAAGAATTCCTTGTGTTGACGGCGTTCGGCGTAGCATTCCATCTGCTTCGCCTTCTCCGTCCACCATGCATTTTTAATGCGACGGAGCTCTCGGGTCAGTCGCCGTCGAAGTTTGCGAAACTGACTACTCTTCCCCAAGTCACTGGGGTCTGCAACATGTGCAGCAAATGCTGCATTCTTCTCTGACACCAATGCGTCAATCGTCACATTGTTGTCATCAAACCAATCAGGCCGCTTACAGTTTGCGCGCCCGATGGTCTCCTCGGCAGCAGCTGTCACCTGGTCGCGAATGTGGTGCCACAGGTCGCCCACTGTGGCTATGCAGTCCACATCACCACACAGGCGTGCAGCCATCGCCTTCTCCAACTCAGTACGTTTCGCCACAGTACCGAGGGAGAGAATGTTAAATTTACGCCGATTCACGGCGGGAGTGCAATACATCGATTTACGAAAATATATGTACAGTTTGGTCCGAACCAATTTGTGATCAGTGCCACACTCAGCTCCACGCAGTACACGTGTCATGCGCACTTCACGCATATCACGCTGACGTACGATGACATAGTCGAGCAGGTGAGCGTGACCACTCCGTGGGTGCGTCCAAGTTGCTATATCACTCGCACTCAGTGCAAACCGAGTGTTCGTGATCGTCAGGCCTTGAGTGGCACACAGTGAGAGCAGCCTGTCACCGTTCGCATTCGCTGAACCAATGCCATGCGCACCGATAACATCTGTCCACGCTGATGCATCACGCCCAACGCGCGCGTTGAAATCACCCAGCAGAAATAGTCGGTCGCTCCTCGGCACAGACCGTATCACGGAGGATAGCTCAGTGTAGAACTGATCACGCATGTCATCAGGATAACACATAGTCGGACCGTACGTGCTTATGAAAGTAGCAAACTTACCTCTTCCGAGTCGTAGGCGAACAGTCATCAGTCGCGCGCTGATGCCCGTTGGTTCACCCACCAGCTGGCCATTCAGGCGGTCGGATATTGCAAATCCGACCCCATGTTCACGTGGTGCTGAGGCGGCGTTCCCCACCCAGTAGAATGTGTAGCCAGCACCTGCTTCATGTAACTTACCTTGCTCAGCGAGCCGAGTTTCACTGAGCGCCGCAATATCGATGTGGTAGCGCGCCAGCTCCATTGCGACCAGTGCAGTGCGTCGCTCCGGGCGCTCGCTGGAGTTCCGGTCCAGTAGTGTGCGCACGTTCCAGCACCCGATGCTGAGTGCTTTGCGCGCAGGCATCCGATTGCATTGGTGGGCAATCGCACGCGAGGTGGTCGTTGTGCTTCGGAGGTTTGCTTGAGGGACTCCACCCGGAGCCTTTGGCTCAATAGCCTGACCCACAAGGCAGTGGGTGGTTTGGAGGTTTGCTTGAGGGACTCCACCTGGAGCCTTTGGCTCAATAGCCTGACCCACAAGGCAGTGGGTGGTTTGGAGGTTTGCTTGAGGGACTCCACCCGGAGCCTTTGGCTCAATAGCCTGACCCACAAGACAGTGGGTGGTTTGGAGGTTTGCTTGAGGGACTCCACCCGGAGCCTTTGG